CCCGGGCCCTCTAAGCTGCCCTGGGGATGACAGTGACCATGTCTGTAACTCATCTACAAGTCCTGCTTGTGGGGGTAAGTTCTGTAGAGCAGGGTTAGAAGGGGCCATGTTTCCATGGAGTTGCCCTGCATAAGCTCAGCGCAGCCTCCACACCTGATGCTGTCCCGACTTCCTATACACCAAGCCTGACCTGGCGATCTTCCTCACAATCAGGCTGCCAGCTGGTCCGCAGCCCATGCCAAACTCACCACTGGGAACCAGCGTCATGGTCCCACTGGAAGGGATGACCTTTAGAGGACTTAACAGCCATAGTCTGGCTGGCAGGATAGCTCAGCAGGTAAAGGCACTTGCTGCCATACCTGATGACCTGAGTTGCACATGGTGGAGGGAGAGAACTAACTCCCACAAACTGGCCTCTGACCTCCATGTGTGCTCTGTAGCACACACACACACATACACACACACACACACACACACACACAATTATTATTATTATTATTATTATTATTATTATTATCATTTAAACCCACAGACATATAACTCACACACGCACATGCAGCAGAGAGGCCAATCCTGTTATAGTCCGCAAGGTGTTAAGAGTGAAGGGGGAAGACGGCTGACAGGTTATTTGGGGAAGGTTTCCCGGAGGAGGGGAGAGAGTTAACACATTGTTCAAAGGGCATTTACTTGATTTAGCAGAGAGGAAGGGAGGGTATTGCAGGTGTTGGGCCCAGAGATGGGTTGCAGACAGGAGGAAGCAGAAAGCTGTTGTCTACAGCGGGGGCCGGCACTTGGAGCAGAGTGAGCCGAGGCAAGCGCCGGATGAGTAAGTCAGGCATAATGTAGGATGCATACCTAAACCTATAACAGTTTGCACACAGCGGGATAATCATCCCAGATAGCTTGGAGACTGGGCTGGAGCACAGGGCCCAAACGGGAACTGCCACCTCACTGGGAGCCCAGCAGCAGACCAAAGCATAGGCTGCAAAAAAATTAAATAAAATAAAATAATGATAATTTAAAAAAAGAAGGGTAAGCTGGCAATGTCCTTGTCCTCCCCAGGAGGAAGTAGGGAAATCCACAGGAAAAGGAGAGGTGTGGCCCGGGGCCTTACTGGACAAAAGCAGGAGGAAGAGGAGCCTAGAAGAAGCAGAAGGCTGCCAACTAGAACCCCCTGCCCATTGAATATTCCTGTGGACTTACTTTGTTTTGGGGCAGGATCTTGCTCTATAGCCCAGGCTGTCCTGGGACTCCCGATCTTCCCCCAGGAGATCCCTGGTACTGGGATTTACAGCTGAATATCAGCACTTCTGTCTCAGGAAGACGATTCAGTGTTCGGAAAGAAGTACCTTACTGGATGTGGTAGCATGTGCCTGCAATCCCAGCATGTGGGAGCCAGGAAGACCAGGAGTTCAAGGCCAGTTTGGGCTACATGAAATTCTGTCTCTAAACAAACAAACAATGCCAGGTGTGGTGGCACATCTCTATAACCCTAGCGCTTGAGAAGAGGAAGCAGGAGATCAGGGTCACCTGGTCACTCTCAGCGACATAACTGAGTTCCAGGCCAGCCTGTACTCCATTGAAACCCTGACTCAAAATGAAGTGGTGGCGCACGCCTTTAATCCCAGCACTCGGGAGGCAGAGCCAGGCGGATCTCTGTGAGTTCCAGGCCAGCCTGGGCTACCAAGTGAGTTCCAGGAAAAGCGCAAAGCTATACAGAGAAACCCTGTCTCGAAAAAACCAAAAAAAAAAAAAAAAAAAAAAAAAAAGAAGTTCAATAAATAAATAATTACATGCCTTATATGCAAAAATAAATAAATAACAACAACAACAAACCATTATCCAATGTAATTAAAATTTCTCCAAGGAGAGAAAAAGAGATCCCTTTCCATCTACCACCATTCTGATCGGATCACCGCAGCAAAGTGAGCAGGGAGAAGGGCGAGAGGAAATGGAGACACAGAGTGGAGAAAATAACTGGCCCAAGCTCCCAACACATGTCACCCTCTCTCAGGATAGCGTGGAGGAGGAGGAGGAGGAGGAGGACTTTGGTGGGCCGGGTTTCCTTACACGGCCTTCTGGACCTGCCAGTGACCTTGGGCATGCACAGAAGCGGCATGCAGCTTCCCAGCAGGCTAGGCATTAGGTCCCCTCTTGGGACCTCAGATAGAGGCTCTGCCGTGCCCTAGGGTCCTCCCACCTCAAAGCTGGCAGGAGAGGCATGGATCCTGACTGCCTTCCTTCTCCTGGCTGACCCTCAAGTCCCCTCGAGGCTCCACATCAGCACGGGTACCTCCACAGTGAAATCCCCCCCAGCCCTTTCTCATTTCTCCTTGGAAGATGTTCTCTTATTTGGAAAAAAAAAAAAAAAAAAAAAAAAAAGCAATAGACTGGATGGGAGCTTGCTGTGTTCTATTGTTCGGAGGGAGGATTTTCATATCAGTGCTAGTGAAGGCAGTTGATGGCTGTTCTTGACACCTGCTGTGAGAGGCAATTTCATCCGCCCAGTCTGAATACACTCGGGAACTGCATTTCCCCAAGAGACCAAATGCAACAGCTTTGCAGACTGTTGTCCCTCACACAGGGCGGAAAAAGTCCTGGACTCTTCTGTGGTTGTACCACAGATTTGTTTGTTTGTTTGTTTGTTTTAAGATTTATTTTATTTTTAATAATGTGTATATGGGGAGCTAGGGATGGCTGTGTGTAAGCCTGAATGCAGGTGCCCATAGAATCCAGAAGGGAGTATCAGATCCCCTGGAGCTGGAGTTACAGGAGGTTGTGAGCCGCCAAACACAGGTGCTGGGAACCAAACTTACTCAGATCCTCTGTAAGAGCAATAAACGTTCGTCCTCACTTAGCCACCCCTCTGGCCCCCAAATCCTGGGCTTCTGACTAAGAGAAGCAAATGGGAAATGGGCCCACACGGGCACCAGGCCTGCTCAGCCCTTGTTAGAGGCCCTGACTCCATCCCTCTGAAAGTCGAGACTCTTAGACTGAAGGGCAGAGTAGGAGACACTCGAGTTTCTAAAAGGAAATCACATTCATGAGAAAAGTGTAAGACAACTATAATGTGCCTCTAGGGCCAAAGCTGATCATTGGAAGCGTTCTCCTCAAAGAATTCTCTCTGCTTTGAGGAGACTTCTGGGAGAAGAGAGAAAGAGATAATCCAGGCATCTCTGCTGCTCCTGTTTCCATGAGAATTTACAGTAACTCTGCAGTTGCCCCCAGAGAGAACCACACGACCCAAACATTTCCACAGATCGCAAGGAATCCTTTACAGATGTTTAGTCCGGCAGTTGTCCCCTCCGTCCCCACAGGAGCCTTGTCTAGTGCCATTCTCTGTGAGAAGGTCAGCATTCAGGATCGGAGTCAGTGTGGTGGCGGAAGCGGGAAGATCACAAGGTCAAGACCAGTGGGAGCTATGTAGTGAATCTGAAACCAGTCAGGCCTAGAGATCCGGTCCCCAAATAAAGACATGAAATTAAAAAGCCAGGGTTGGTTATAGCTCAGCAATGAAGGAAGGGGTAGGAGATCGCTACAAGGCCAATACTTTCCCTTCTTCCATTTCAAACCAACAGCATGGCCTGTTTGTGGGGGTGGTGTGCAAGGATACGAGATAAAAGTATCAGTGCTGTCAGTGGAGGTAGACCAGAAGACACTTCACGGGTCTCCTTTTACAAGTGAAGAAACTGAGGCTGAGAGGGCCGTCACATGCCCAAGATCATGCACTTTTCCTTTAGGGTTCATATCTTGGTCTCTGGACCAGTTGACCTTGCCTTCATCCATTCCTCAGGGCTTCCAGCCAGCCAGCCAGCATCCATGGAGCACTGGACCTGCCACGGTGCGGACCACAGATGCATCGATGAATATTACACAGGCCTTGACCCTCGAAGTCGGTACCACCTTCCTAGCAAACCCGGGAACCGCAAAATTTTCCCACCCCGGCGCAAGCCCCCACCCTTCCTGTCACTCAGGCTCCCAGCAGCCGGAGCTAAAGATAGAATTGAGGGCAGCGTTTTAAGTCGGCAGCGGCAGACCTGTCTGGCCAAGTGGGGATGGGGAGCTAAGCCAAACCGGGAGAGCATGGGGTTGGGGAATCAGACCCTCTCAAAGCAGCTACTGTGTTTCTCTATGATGGGCTGTTCCCGGGAGACAGGCTGCTGCTGTTTTTTCTTCCAGTGGGTAGAGACCTGCGTAGGGCTGGTAGGGCCTCACCACGACACCTCATTCCACATTCTAGTCTTCCCTGACCTCAGAGATTTTTCTTCTGGCTTTTTACCCTCTGCTCACACCGCTTCTCTGACCCAAGGCTTTAGTTATTCCCACAGACAATGAAAGTCCACATCCCTCAGGCTGGTGTTCACAGGCTTCCTTAGGAAGGCTAGAAGATGAGACCCAGGGCTGGAGGAGTCAGGTCCTCTGCTGGGAGGCCTGCACTACTCAGACCTGAGGGGGGCTGGGGGTGTGGGGGAGCATAATAGAACCCAGATGTTGCCTGTAGCCCTTGAGGCAGCATGGGGTCACCATCAGATCATACCCATCTGGATTCCTTGCCCATCTCTGGGCAACCTGCTTCTCGTCCCTGCTCTTGGATGGGCCGGCGGATAGCAGCACATGGAAGTTTAACAGCATCAACATGAGCGGTGTGAGGGGGGAGAAAATGAGCTGTACTCCCCTCTGGCTGTGGCTCTCCATCTCCAGGTATGGGGGGCTTCAGGGGATGATGGAGCTGCAGGGTTTGGGCAATGTGGGAGGAGGGAGATGAGCTACCTTGGGCTGCTCACTTTCCCTCAGAAATGCAGAGGACTGAAAGCAGCTTCCTTGTATGTCTGGGTCTGACTGGAATCTGAACCCAGCCGATGTAAAGAAGGTAGGTTAGAGGTTCCCGGGGAGGCTCAGTTCAGGTTGCCCTGGGGGTTTATGTGAGTTAACAGAGACTTGTCCAGGTCTTCCAGGGGGAGGGGCCGCCTCCGTACCTCACCAGTACCAAATGGCGCGGCTGACAGGATGCCACCCACCACCCTGCAGACACTGAAGTACCCCTGACAGATATGCTTTCTAACCAAGGGTTTGGTGAGAGCCCCCAAGGAGCAGCAGGCTGGAGAGCCTGAGGAGGTCCATCTACCCAGTACTCACTCTCTTGCCCCCACACTGGCACAACATGGAAGAACACTCCAAGAACCTGCTTTCCAGGTACAGAAATAGTATGGAAGGGTGGGGTGCGGGGGCTGGGGCTGCCACATGCTGCTTTTCCCTGGGCATTCTGGGTAAGAATAATAATGAGGCTATTAATAACGTCTTACCTCTGTCTAAGTCTTAGAGACCTTTCTCAAGATGTTTCACCGCCTGCGCACCTAAGAGCTCAATTGATTTTTCCAAGACAACCCTGTGCATCTGTGGGATCATCACCCCCATTTGGTAGATGTGGAAACTGAGGCATGGGGAGAGGAATGTTAGACCCTACCCCATGCCAATTACACTGCTAAGCCATGGCTGAGTGGAGCCAGGCTGAGGTTTCCCTGGGTCATTGCTCCAGGTGTCTTGTTGACAAGTGGTTCCAAAAAGCCAAGCTTTGTTAGGCTGTGCTTTGTCGGTCCCTTCTGGGGATGGTGTAAGCACAAAGTCCCCCAAAGCAGTACATGTGTTCCCTAGGTGAGCTGGCAAAGACCCATGTGTGCAGCTCTATCCCGTGATACACACCCTATCACAAAGACAGCCATTAGCAGAGCATAGCTTGGTTTGGTTTTAAGAGATGGGGTTTCAGCTGGGCATAGTGGTGTGTGCCAGGAAGACCAGCACTCGGGAAGCAGAGGCAGGAGGGTTAAGCAAATTCCAGGGCAGCTTGGACTACACGACAAGACGATGTCTCGGAAAAACAAGGATGTAACTCAGTGGTAGAATGCCTTGGGTTCAATCTCTAGCACTTACATACGTACGTACACTCACGGTGGAGTGGGAGGGAGAACTGTTGCCCAAGCTGACCTCAAACTCCAGGCCTCAAGCAATCCCTCTGCCTCAGGCCCCTGAGTAGTAGCTAAGGCTAAAGGCGTTCAGGAAAGCATTCCTTTCCATCAGAGGGCTCACAGTGAAGCCAGATGGAAAGCCCTTAGATCATCTTGAACTCACTTAAGGAGTGAGATAACATAGGGTGTCGTGGAGACACAGAGGGGAGCCCTAAGCAAGCCTGGGATAGCAGAGGGACTTCCCGAAGAGGGGGTGCACCGACAGGTCCTTTACCAAGATTGTTCTCTGTTCCTCTTTTCAGCACCCACCTGTGACCTTCCTCGCCCCTCTCCTAACATCACCCTACTCTGGTTTCTTTCAGGTCTGGAGCAATCAGGGAGCAGGAGCCAGACTGCCACACCAGAATGAACACATGCCAAGGGTTGCCAGAGTCAGACTCCAGACTCCATTGCTGGGCGTGTGCAAGGATGGGCTCTGAGCCTGGCTCACCTTGGGTTTGCACTACCAAGCAATGGCCCATGTAGACCCTAGAGCATCACAGGTTAGCCCTTCCACCCAGGAATCTTCTCCTATGTGCAAAAACACTAGCCTACTTTTAAAATCTGCTCATCAGACTTCATGTTGCTCCTGGCATTTAACGCTTCTCTGTTTAACCTGGATCTGTCGTTACTAAATTGAACCCTCTTTTTAGTCTTTGGAGGAATGGGGCTTTTGGTCATAGTTTTCCAAACAAGGGGTTTCCTAGACTTGAAATGTGTAACCCAGGAACCCTCAGCTTCTCTGTCTGAGGCTGATAAATCTCCATTTCCGCAATTAACTCACCACTTCAGCCTTCCTTCCTCTCAGGGCCTCTCCGCTTCTCCTCTGTGTTAATGGTTGGGTTTTTTTTTTTTTTTTTTTTTTTTGAGACGTGGTCTCACACTGTAATTCAGGCCAGCCTGGAACTCACTACGTAGCCCAGGCTGGCTCTGAACTTTCTGCAGTCCTCCTGCCTCAGCCTCCCAAGAGCTACGATTACAACTGTGTGCCTCCATGATCAGCTTCCTCCTTCTTTAGTTGAGGGATACAAGGCCAGAGAAAGAGTAGCCTTGAGGGCTGACCCTCAGCTCGTGACAGCAGGGAGGGGGCAAATGCCTTGGGGTTGGCAGAACCGGAGCAGGGGTAGGAAGGCATCCGTAGCTAGCCAGCCTAGGAATGATGTTCCATGAAGCTGCCCCACCTTGTAAAACCTTTATGGCAATCTTTTAATCTCCCTCACCTGGTATACTGTCTGTATACGGAAAGTTCTGCTGTGTTTCCTAGAACTTGATGACCTCTCCCTTCCTCCCTTCATTGTGCTGGTTATGAATTAGCTAATGACATCAGACTGTGAGATGAAGTTCCAGCCAATGGGAAACACAGTCACCACCTGTGAACGAAGTGAACTTCCTTCCCAGGTGTGCTTGCTAGCCCTTTTTGGGTCATGATACACCCTTTTTACAACAAGAAATTGCCTTGCCAGGTTCCTTTGACTTTGGTTGGTAGTTTCTTTGTACAACACTAAGAACATTCTTTTCCAAGAAGAGACAATGTGAAGAGTTAGTTACCTGAGACCTAAACCATTACTCCTGGGAGGGGCTAGAGGAGTGACCGAAGTAGGAAATATGGTTTGGCGGGTAACTGATTCTGCAGGTCTGAGGTCAGTGGACAGTAATGAACCTGTTCTTGTTAGACCTTTTAGCTCAGAGCCTCGTATTTAGAAGCTCAATGTAGCTGGTTGTGCTGACACACACACACCTCTGATTCTAGCTCCTCCAGACTATCTGACTCCACTTCCCCAGTACCAGGATCACAGGCTGGCACCACCACTCCTGGCTCACACAGGATGATTTTGACGTGGCTAGTTTCTGAGAGCAGTGAGCCTGGGAGCTGTCCCCACCATGCCCTCTTCCCTCTAAGAAGTAGTGATTCTACAATCCTGAGGCACACCTGAGAACTACCCTGAGGCTGCAGGTAACTTCTCCACCTGACATTTCATCCCATCCTCAAGACACTGACCACCCATGCCATCCAAAGGCAATCACACGCACTGTCCATGCCCCCTGCTGACCATGAGAAGGACAGGCACGCTGTCCAGTCCACGGTAGAAGATTGAAGGATGGGGAAAGTAGGCAGAGCTCCCCAGAGCCTGACTTGCTTCCTAGAAAACCGTGTAAATCAATGAGATGAAGCTGGGCTTGGTGGGTGATACTGTAATCCCAGCATTCTGGAGGCATAGACAGGAGGATTGTAATGTTGAGTCAGTGTGGGCCACGTAACGAGTTCAAGGCTAACCTGAGTCACATACTGGATCCTGTCTCCAACAACAGAGCAGCCAGTGGGGTGGAGAGACAGCTCAGCAGCAAGAATGTTTGCTGCTCTTCCGGAGGACCTGAGTTTGGTTCCCAGCGCTGTAACAGGTGGATGAAACCCACCCATCACCTGCAGCTCCGGGAGATCTGACGCCCTCTTCTGGTCTGTATACACACAGAGAGACACATGTACACACAATCCAAAATAAAACCTTAAAAAAATAATAAAATAAAAAGCATGCTGGCCTGGTGCACACCTGCAATCTCAGCACTAGGGAAGCTGAGGCAGGAGGATGGAGGGTGCTAGGCCAGCTGGAGCTTCACAGCAAGAGGACCCTGTCTCAGAAAAGAAAACAAGAACATATGTGGGAAATGTTTGTTGACAAAGCAGTTCAAAAGTGCCCGTTTAATTATTGTCTGAGCTCGGAGGAGAGCCAGGGAGATGCAATCGTAGCTGTCTGGGCTTGTCTGTACAGCTAGCATTTGCCGAGCACAAAGCATGTGAACTGGCTTAAATGGACTCGTATCCGAAAGCGCTAGGCAAGGACGGACCCTGACATACAGCCAATCCTCAGGAAATGCCGGCTGGTTCCTCCTCCCTCAGTCTCCCCAGCTCCGTTTATAAGTGAGAAAAGTGTGGCCTAGAGAGATTAATGGGCCTTTTCGAGGTTCCAACAGAACCATTTACAACACCATGAACCCTTGAAATGACCTCAGCTGCCCCTGAGAGAAACTATAGTCCCTAGCCTCCAGGATGGGAAATTTTAGAGGGAATGGAGAGTCTTCTTTGTGACTGGGTGACGGGTATGGAGGCTGGGGCGTGGGGAAGGATTCTGCTTGGGGGAATCTTTCCTGCCTTCCACTGCAGGACAGCCCCGGTAAACAGCCTGCAAGAACTCGCCGGGAGCAAGTGGAGAAAGGGAGTAGGAAGCAGGGAGAAAATAAACAACCAGGCCGGAGACAGCCAGGGAAAGCGAATGTGAGCAGCGAGGCAGAGCGCTGATGGATGGCCGGTGTCTCTGGAGGAGGAAGGGCCATTTGGGGGAATGGAGAGAGCTCACAGGCGGCCCAGGGAGGGTGGGAGAGCAGCTCTTGGGAGAATCAGGCATGCAAGGAGCCTCAGTTGCTCCTCAGGGCAGGATACGGGTGGTTTGTGGACCCAAGACATGGGGAGTTGGCACAGGGACCTCAGGTGAGGGCAGGAGAAAGGGCTGTGGCCAGAGTGGGCAGAGGGGCCCCACACAGTTAAGGCAGGATGGATGCTAAGGAAGCAGGAGGGAAGACAGCTAGGGGTGGCACTTTGAAAAAGAGGGCCAGGACACTGACCCAGCACCTGACCTACCTGCCTCAGGGTACCTAGAGTCTCTTTGGCACCCTGCCCTGCCCTCCTAATGCCATGTCTCTCTGAAAGGCCCTGGGCACCCTGGACCTACTCCTAAGACCACTCAAGCCCCAGATACTTAACATGCATCGGACAACACTCAGACTGTTGCGACAAAATTAGGCAATTTCCAAACCCATTAAATACGCCTCCTGATAGCATCTCTCCCAGGGCCATTGTCAAAACTGTGAACCACTGTGGGAGGCTTCACGGTGAGCGGTTCTGGGCTGTGCTCTCTCCTTCAATCTGGCCTCGTGGCATAGACTAGGTGACTTCTCCCAAGGGCCACCTGCAGGGGAGGGGCATAACTCTGCTCCCTAGAATCCTATTGTCCAGACCCACTACTCTCAGCCAGCCCTGACTGAGGTGCCAGGAGCCACAATGTGCCAGGCTGCAGGACTGGAGGAGGTTCCAGCTCTCACTTGGCAGGGAATGAGCTACGTGACCCACTCCTCCTAAGCTCCAGTGGCTTCTTACAAGATTGGCAGGGAGGAAATATAACTGACTGGGAAAATGGCATTTTAAAAAGTCACACTGGGTATGTGCTGCGCAGTAATCCTAGAACTTGGGGTATGAAAGTAGGAGAATTAAGAGTTCAAGGTTATCTTCGGCTACAAAGTGAGTTCAAGACCAGCCTGAGCTAGATGAAGAAACTGAAACTATTAAGAAACTGAAGACCTGTGTACTAAGTGGTTTTGCGTGTCAACTTGACACAAGCTATAGAGTCCTAAGAGGAAGCAGCCTCAGTTGAAGAAATGCTTCCTTGAGATCCAGCTGTGAGGCATTTTCTCATTTAGTGATCAATGGGGGAGGGCCCAGCCCATGGTGAGTGGAGCCATGCCTGGGCTGGTGGTCCTGGGTTCTATAAGAAGGTGGACTGAGGAAGCCATGGTAAGCAAGCCAGTAAGCAGCTCTCCTCCATGGCCTCTGCCTCAGCCCCTGCTTCCGGGATCCTACCCTGTTTGAGTTCCTGTCCTGACTTCCTTCAGTGATGGACAGCAATGCTGAAATGTAAGCTGGATAAACCCTTTCCTCTCCAACTTGCCTTTTGGTCATGGTGTTTCATCCCAGCAATAGAAACCCTGATTAAGACAACCTGGCCTCAAGTCCTGGTTCTCTCTCTCTCTCTCTCTCTCTCTCTCTCTCTCTCTCTCTCTCTCTCCTTCCTTCCTTCTTTCCTTCTTCCTTTTTTTTATTTATTTTTTTTTTTTTTAGACAGGGTTTCTCTGTGTAACTGCCCTTGCTGTCCTGGAACTAACATTGTAGACCAGGCTGGCCTCGAACTCAGATCCATCTGCCTCCCAAGTGCTGGGATTAAAGGCGTGCGCCACCGCCGCCCGGCAAGTCCTGGTTTTTTCCACTCCACACTTGTGTGATCTTCCGCAAGTGATTAAACCTTGCTTGTCTCACTTTCATCCAAATAACGGTGGGTGGGGGAACAGTACTTCCCGCGTGGCATTTGGTCACCCTCTCAAGTCACCTGTGGAAAGATGGCATCTTGACCTGGTACGGAACAGACACTAACAATATGAGGGGCTTCCTCCACCCCATCTTTGTTTTTCCTTCTCACCTACTCTGCAGCACACAGTGGACCTTCTCACAGGAAATTCCGAAATACTCGGAAAATGTCACTGAGCAATTCTCCGTCCCCATGGTTGTTGCCACAGTCGGCTCATTAGGGAGTTTCTCAAAGAGCAGAGGGGGAGGAAGGGAACATCACCCGTATTACAGGGGTGAGGCTGCCCCCGGTTGCAAGTCTAGAGGCCGTGACACTACATGCTGAGCAGAGCCTCAGCAGGAGATGCGCTTCTGGGGAGCTGTCCCTGAGGCCCTGCTGAGAGGGGTCCCATTGTCATAACAGTTTTTCAGAAAGAACAGGTCCACAGAGGGCTCCATTCAGCTGCAGACGGGAGAGAGAATTGCAAAGCCAGAGGAAAGGAAGGATACCTGGGAGGGAGCTCAGAGCCTCCACTAAAGGACTGAAGGGGGAAGAGGAGGGGGGAGAATCTGGCCAGGTGGAGAAGGAAGAGGGGTCCTGGGATCTGTGTGTGTGTGTGTGTGTGTGTGTGTGTGTGTGTGTGTGTGTGTGCGCGCCTGTGTGCCCACGAATGTAGAGGCCAGAGGTCCTCCACCTCAGCTGTTGTTTCTCAGGTGCCATTCACCTCGACTTTTCAGACTCTCCCCGGGACCCGGGGCTCGCCTGCTGAGGTCTAGGGATGCTCCTGTCTGTCTTCCCGGGGCTGGGATTATAAGTGCTTGCCACCACACCTGGGTTTTTATGTGGGATCGAGGGAGCGAACTCAGGCCTTCATGCTTCCATGGCAAACATTTTATCAATCGAGCTCTCTCTCTAGCCCCAGGTCCTGGCATTTTTGCATTCCACTGGGCAGGATCTCTAGAGGAGATGGTGAGGCACCAGATTCCTGGGCAGTGCAGGGAGATAAGTGCTCCTCACCTAGACTTTTCAGCCCTGTCAAGGCATGGGGTGAGAACACTGAGAATGGATACTGAAGTAAGAGTGAGGGGGAAGAGGCCGGGAATGAAATGAAATGCAACCCCAGGCCACTCTGGCTCTCACGTGACCAGCCACAGTGGAAAGCCACCTAAGAGTCTCAAAAAATACCGACCCTTGGACCTGGTTCAGAGAGGAAAGGTGCCTGCTGCCAGGCTTGACCACCTGAGTTTCCTCTCCCCAGGATCCACAAGGTGGAAGGACAGAATTAAATCCTGCAAGTTGTCTTCTGAGCTACGCACACGCGCGCATGCGCATGCATGTACACGTGCACTCGCGCTACACAAATAGTGAAAACCGATGCTTGTCTCCATCCTGCAGAATTCTATGTGCACTCCTAGGGCCCACAACAGTCCGTGGGAGACTCCCTGACTGGAGAGCAAGACTGGGAACCCTCAGCTCTGCCCCCCACTTGCCTGTGAGTTCTGGGGCGAGTGCTTTCCCACTTCGGGTTCCTCTACGTGAGGCGGTAGCGTCCTCCCCAGGATCTTAAGCTATTGGTTCTTGGACTGTGACGCTGGGAATGTCTTCTTTTGGGGACTGTTTTCTCCTCTCTCCTTTCCATTCCTCCAAGTGGATGGGCCCTTTTCAGAGGGGAGAGGCCTGTTCTGCTGCTTCTTGCACTTCCATTTCTGACGTCAGAGAGGGAGGGCCCTGTGGGCCTCCTCTTACCTCCTGTTAGTTTCCTTGGAGTGTGTGTGTGTGTGTATATGTGTGTATGTGTGTGTGTGTATATGTGTGTGTATATGGGTGTGTATGGGTGTGTGTATGTGTATGGGTGTGTGTATGGGTGTGTGTCTATATGGGTGTGTGTGTATGTGTGTATGTGTGTGTATATGTGTATGTGTATATATGTGTATGTGTGTGTATATGTGTATATATGTGTATGTATGTGTGTTTATGTATGTGTGTGTATACGTGTGTATGTATGTGTATACGTGTGTGTACGTGTGTGTGTGTGTGTGTGTGTGTGTGTGTGCGCACACGCGTGGTGTTGCTGAAGGTGGACTCCAGGGCCTCCCACATGCTAGGCAAGTGCTCTAAGCACTCAATCGCTGAGATATACTCCTTCTTATCCTACCTCAAAGAGAATTCGTAGGTGTGCCAGTCAGGGTTCGCCAGAGGAGCAGAGCCATAAAATATGAACATGTTGAGAGATCAGCTCCATGGAGTTGGCTCACACAGCTGTAGGAGCTGGCAGCCTGTAGGACACACCCGCCAGACTGGGATCCCTCTGTTACAGTCTTAAGGCAGAATTTCTTTCTCTGAGATTTTC